TGTGCTCAAGGTAGCACCCAGGGCAGAGCTGGCCCCCGGGTGGGCAGACCACACTCCCTCCAAGGCCATGTGCCCAGGGATGCAGCTGGATGCCTGGGGATGTCCGGGCATGTCCCAAAGTTGGCCAGAAGTCACTCTTCCCACTCGAAGCATGCTGGTGGCCTGGCTCACTTACCATGAGACAAGGTACAGAGCAGGCAGGGGTCAGTCCCTTTGGGCCATAGGAAGACCTACCCAAAATGACTGTATGGATGAGAGAGACGGGCTTGGCTCCACGCACAACTAGAAGTACCCCTGGCACTGCCCAGGAGGCAGTGAGCCCTTCCTTTGTTGTCTCTCCTTGTAGAAATGTACATGCACACACACACACCATTGCTTGCCCTCCTATCCCCTGCCCATCAACCCTTGTGTCCCCCTGGCAGACACCAGTACAGCTGTATCCTGTCAAGGGGTCGTGCCCAGCTGCCCTCGGCCACTTCTGCCTGCTGCATGCAAGCCCCTGGTGAGGGACTGTGCACCCTGGCTCACCCACCCTGCACCCCGCAGGCAGGGCTTGAGGTGGGGGGGGAGCCCTTGGTGACATGGGCTGTGACTCTGCCAAGCTGTGCAGCATGACACCGAGGGGCACGCTGCCTGAAACCAGCCTTCAGCCCCAACGGGGCTCCATGAGTCCTGCCAAAACACCTGAATCTCAGCCCAGGGCAGGCATATCCGCAACCAGCAGTGACACGCACAAGGTGGGAAAAGTCTTTTCCTGTTCCCAAGACTCATCTGCGAGAGCTGCAGGGACCTTTGGCACAGGGAGTTTTTTTTTAAAGGTCTGCCTTTGATGAGCCAGAGCCGCGCATCACCACCCACACTCCAGACTCAGGAGGGGCAATCACCCAGTGCAAGCCTCCGCACCCCTGAGCACCCTTCAAAGACAAAACACACCCAGGGAGCACCCATGGAACTCTGCACGAGGCTGTCCGTGTCCCCCAGAGCCCCGCCGAGGCCTGGGGCAGCATCCTGTGCCCTCCTCTGCTCACACCCCAAGCTTTCCTGCTGCTTCCAGTTTAATCATTGCCCAGGTGTCTGGCAGGCAACACGCTGCCCTGCCTCACCCAGCTTGTTTGCCGTTGCCCCAAGGTTGGGCAGAGCAAAGGGCAGCAGTGACATTTCTGCCGGCAGATGCTGCACCCTGCCAGCACCCTGCCCGGGCCAGGCCAGCACATCCCTTGATACCCCTGCTCATGCCAGCCGCACTAACCCCAGCACTCTGCCCAAAGGGCCACATACCCCTCGGGGACAGTTTTCCCTCTCCAAACTGTTTCCAAGCAGCCTCTGCAGGGTGCAAGTTCCAGCCAAGCCACCACAGTGACACCATATCCCTGCTCAGACACACAGGGCTGGCGTTGGGACCACAAAAGCAAACAAGGGGTGGATCCACAAGCCCCTGTGCCAGCACTGCCTGCGGTCCAGGCAGCGTGAACAAGAGTCCTCCTTGTTGCAGGGCGTGGGGCTGCATCCTTGCCAACCTCCTCCCGCAAGCTGCACAGCCCCTGCCACCCACCAGCATGGGACCTGGGCCAGGGAGAGCCATCGGGAGCTCTGCCCCACACCTCTGCAAAGCCACTGCAATCCCAGCCCAGAGGCTCCCAGGGGTGGGGGGATCTCAAGGGTGGTGGTCTTCCAGGCAGTGGTGGGCTCCTGGTGGTGGCGAGGTCTCAGTTCTGGTGGGATCTCAGTGGTAGTGAGACCCTGGGTGGGGTGGGCTTCCAGGCAGTGCTGGACTCGGTGCTGGTGGGCTCCAAGAGGGTCGCAGCCAGCTGGGGCAGTGCCACAAACCCCACTCAGCTGTCCCAGGCAGGAACCCACCCCTGTCCCCAGGCACCCCCAAAGCCAGGCTCTCTCTTTCCAAAAGG